ATGGCCCTTTTCTCAACTCGAGCCCACTTCGGCTTCTGTAGTTCTGCAGACGGCTCGATCTTGGATGCAGCCCTCTGTATCGGTCGAAGCTTGATGTACTGCTTGTACCAGGATCTTGCTTCGCTCACCACCAACTCCCACCACTCACCCGACGAGTCGCTGAGGTCTGTCATTGCCGGATCCACCATGGTGAGCCAGTCGGCCAAGTCGATTGGAGCCGTGTCGGAAGGCTCTGCCAGGACCGGAAGTGTGACCGTTCCTGGCTTGACCGACTCGGGTCCCTCTTGCTTCTTCTCCTTGTCCACCAGGTAGGCGATCAGCTTGGTCATAGCGTCAGCCATGCCGCCTCCACCTTCACCAGATGGATCCTCCCTGGCGGGCGCAGCAGAAGAACGACCAGGAGGTTCAGCACCAGGCTTCTTCTTCGCCTGACCAACTCCCTTTCCAATTCCTTGCCTCCCGTCCTGTTCAAATCCCTTTGCCCGAGTTGCCACCAAGCCCTCAGGTTGACCTCCTCCTTGACGTGCGGTTCGTGGACCCTGAGATCTCGATCTCTCTCGTTGCCCTTGCCCTCGACCACCTCGCTTCTCCGGCGTCGGAGTGACCGTGCCCATCAAGGATTGGAGCTGCTCGAACTGCTGCATGGGAGTCAATTCGTATAGGCGACGTCTTTCCACCTCCAAATCCGTCTCTTTCGGAGGCTCCTCGACTGTCATCTCCAGCTGTCGCTTCACAGACTCATCGCTCTCTGGCGTCCTGAAGGCCTGCTGCTCCAGCTCACGTTGAAGATCATGAACTTTAGCTTCCAGGCTCGCCCGCTGGTACTTCATGGCATCCATGAGCTCCGCCTGCTGAATCTGCAGTTGTTGATTCTCTTGCTTCAACATTGCCAACATGGTCATCATCTCCTGTGGATTCGGCGGACCAGGGCCATATGGATGAAGTTGTACCTGCCATCCACCTTGATGCGGCATTGGTCCCCTCCTCTCTTTATGGGGCATGATGTACCCAGGTGGTCCAGTTTGTCCAAAGCCCCTTGGGACATGTAGGCCTCTTCCACCCGGTCCGTTCCCTTGAACCTGAACCACAGATTGTTCTCGGGGTTGGAGATGTCCTTGATCATCGCTATCACTTCCAGGCTCTTGTACTTCAGGTACCCGTGGTTCTCTTCATCAGTGCCGGCGATGGTGTCCCCGTCGTTGTACTCGTCTGTGGAAGTGCTCCAGCCAAGCCCTCTTCCTTCGGAAGGAACTGCGGTCTATCCCTCTTCACCTCCTCCGGAGACCTGCTCGCCATTCCAGGCTGCCAAATACTCTGCCTCGGGACTTGGGCATACAGGTGAGGAGCTTGGCTCTGCACTTCATGAAGTCCCTTCAACTGCTCCGGGGTGAAGAGTGGGGTCATCGGTGTCAAGGTCGTTGGTGGTCCTTTTGGGCCCTCCAATACTTCCTCTTCCCCACCATCTTCACCATCCTCCAGAGCAAGCTGCTCTTCTTCCAGCTGCCGATCATGTAGTGGGAGGCCTTCCAGATCGGCTTCTTCTCCTTCTCCATCATCGCCAGGTTGCCGTCTTCTTCGGCGAACCATCATGGCCATGGCTTTCGCTTGCGCAGGGCGGCCCAGCGATCGACCTCCTCAAGCTGGGTCTTACACCTTCAACCTTGGGCTCATAACCTGAAGGTTTCAGCCTGAAGACCTTTTTCAGGCTTGTGCAAAAGCGGCTTCACACCGTTTGGTGTTTGGTCTGTTTTGACCTACACTTCGTTTTGTGCGTGTCATCCTTTGCGGACCAGCAAAATTAATTAGCTTTTTCTCGGTGTTCCTAGGAGCGATCGGACGCTACTAGGTTGGAAGCCTTCATGCCGTGTCTCGGTGTCATGTCGCTTCGGCATCGCCTTCAACAAAGCCTCCCGTCGCTTGACCTCGTCGTTTCCCAAGCTGCACGGACTTCCCGGCTCCCATGAAGAGCCTGAGTCACGAGTGTTCTGAAACATTTGAATTGAATTTAATAGCTTCTTAGCTTCTAGTAGCTTCTGGTTACTACTAGTAAGGCACCTGTTACTACTAGCGATGCACTTGTTTCTAATAGCGAACATTGTTACTACATGGAAGTATCATTTCACTGGGTCTTGGTTCATTTTGGTTCTGCTTTCCAAGCCCCCCACCAATGCTCTGCAGCCGCTGCGTGCGCTTCTGTCCATTCAGAGTTGTAGGAAAACGGAAGCAAAAAACAGAATAAAGTGTGCTTTTTACTGGAAAGAACAATTTTTGTGCCAGACTTTCTTAGCAAACAACCCAAGAAAAGAGACTGGCAATGTTGTAGTTGCTGGATTCTCCCCAAACCGAAGGTTTGTTGAAACCAACGGGACGTCTATGGCATGTTTGCACGGGATGGTTTGGCATTCTGGATTGAAATTGGTTGGGCGTCGTATTTGGGAGTGCACTGGATTTGGGCACAGCCGTCGAGAGCTTTACTCGATCTGTGTTGCTGAGCGCTTTTAGTGGAAGTAGTTTGCATCACCATCGTCGTGCTGGTAGTGGTAACGGTAGTGGTAGCGGTAGTGGCAGCGGTAGCTGGAATAAAGCAGGGTCTGCAAGAAGGAAGAAAGAAAAAGAACAGGCAAACATGTAAGTAAGTCTTAAGCTTAGTAGGGTCAAATCAGTCAGCAAGGAAGGAAATCATGTAAGTAAAACAAGCAAGCTAAGTAAGTTAAGAAACTGTTAGTAAGAAAGTTAAAAAATAGAAAGTAACCACAGCAAGTAAGGTAACGTAAAGTCAGGAAGTAAAGAAAAAGAATGTATAGAAAAACACGCGCGCAAACAAGGAAGCAAACTGCCACGTAATCAGGCACTGAAACTATGAGAAAGGGAGTGAGTGACGTAAAGATGCAAACACACAAACAAGTAACATATTCGAAACATGAAAAAGCAAGGGAGAAGAAAGTAACCAAAAATCAAGTAAACACGCATCTTGAGACGCCAATAGGACTGTCGGCGCGGGGCCCTTTTCTTGGCGAGTTCGAGATTTTTTCTTCTGTTAGAGTCTGTAACTGACAGACAGACAAACAGTTGGATCGCATGGATCGCGATAATTGACAAGTGATAAGGCCAGATAGGGTCTATGTCGACATTGGCACAGGCGGCTGGGCAGCTCTTGAATAAACAAAGTGGTTCTCTTTTTCTCACTTCTCTCTCTCCCCCTCTCGTTCCAGCCTCCCTCTCAGATGGCGATGGAGGCTCCGACGCACACGGACTGACAGCCTGCAACGGTCCAAGACAGCAAGAGCTCTATGGGCAAGATGGTGCAAAAAGCAATTTCACGTGAAATCCAACACTCGATCTTGAATGCCAAACGATGCCCTTCAAAAACACTGCTAATTAAACACACATTCAATACTCAAACGGGCCTTTGCTAGCTCACACTTGTGAAATAGTGTGAAGCACCGGTGATACATTACATCTATTAGGTTGGAGGCCATCGCTCTTAGGTTGGAGGAGGCCATCCCTAGTAGGTTAGGCTGTCCCTAGTAGGTTGGGCCATCGCTAGTAGGTTGGAGACATCGCTATTGGGTTGGAGCCATTGCTATTGGCGGAGGCCGTCGCTATGAGGTTTACCTCGCATTGCCTCCACGGGAGCCTTGGCCCCCATGACCTTCCCGCCTGTGTCATCCCATCGCTCCCCGAAGACTTTGTTCAAAAGCATGTAGTAACAAGAAGCTAGTAGAAACAAGAAGCTGAGTTTTTGGCCCTATTTAAAAAAACAAGTGGCTTCACTGCTTCACTTCGTTTTCACTGCATTATCCGATTATCCTTTCTTCATCAACTTGCGTTGAATCCTCCTTGCTTGACTTTCTGATCGCATCCACTGACTACTTCTGTTTTGTCTCTTCAGTTCCCCAAAACTCTTAGAAAAGCACACATGCGCAAAGTGAAGCAAGCTCTGAGTGAAACACTGCAGAACGCTTGAGCTCCCGAAATTCACAAGTTTGTTCACAAGAACAATTCATGAAAGATCATGAAAGCATGTTGCACAATAGTCCGATCAAACAGTCGAATGCCAAAAATACAGAACGAACATTCGTTAAGTGCTAAACTGCACGGTATGGGCACATGGTCCGGTCAAGGGCGAACTGAAGCATCTCAGCCTCGCAGCGAAAAGGAAAAAACGGGAAGCAATGGGAAGCAAAATAAAGACAAAAAAATGAAATATATATATATATATGTTTTTTTCTTTGTGCTTTTAGCCCGCTCCCCCCCTACTTAATTGAGTAAGGGAGAAGCTAGTAGCTTAAGTAGCTGCTACTTAGGACGCAGGATTCACGCACTAATGATTTGGCTCCTAGATTTTTAGGGAGACTTAACTAGTTGGAGGCATCAGAGGGGACAAAGGGATAAATGAAACCAAAAACTCCATATTCTATGGCAAATACGCATGATAAATAGATGCAGTCCAGTGAAATCAGGGAAACCGTATCTTTCAATGTGGGGAGTAGCCAAACTACTGTCTTGCGCAGCAAAAAACATTCGATTCGCGACGCCGTCCGCACGACCGCGGTCTTGGCCTCCATGTCGACTTGTCGGACAACGGGCTTCGATGTCGCCATGAGGGGCGGGCGTTGCTCAGAACACGACCTACACTGCGCTCCCGAGGCTCGGAGCACTAGTGGCAGCCAAGTCCCGTGTGGGTAGAGCCAATTTGTTCCTCGATTCGAAAGCGAATTCCTTAGAGCGAATTCCTTTTCCTGCTGGCGTCGTGTTTAAGCTCAAGAGGGCTTGTGCTTCTCTTGAAGCCTTGCAACAGCTACATGCAGCTACATTCGCGTCTGGTAAGATTCTGTATTCAGAAGGGCATGCACTACGCAATGCTACATCCTTCGCCCAGATACAACCAACAACTATTGTGTCATGGAAACTACAAGTGTTTAACATGAGACCGAAAAAACAAAAAGCAACAACATGATGTCCAATCCTCGTTCGAAAAGCATGGATTGTCTTTCTGTGTTTGTTCCTTGGCAGGCGGTTCGCAACTTCTTGCTCAAAGTAATGGGGAGAGCTTCAGAACCCGAGCACCGCCATAGTTCTTGCTCTTGTGATTCCTGAACTGACAAAATCGCTAACCCCTGAATTGTTGAGTGTTTGACAAGTGCTACACATCCAAAAAATGGGCGCAAGTGTCTTTGCTGGCACCAACGCTCCCATCCGCATGGCGGCAACCTGGAAGGAATATATGTGTGTGTGTGTGTGCGTGCGGCGCTGCATCCCTCCACCTTCGCCTTGGCCCTGACAGTTTTGAAAACCTTCATCTTTCAACACAAATCCGCAGCCCAACATCAGGACATATGTCTGAGTCTAAACCAGAACGGCGCCTGCAAAAACGGGGGGTGTCTTTCCGAGGGCGTGCCCGGCAAGAAGGCCAAATTAGCCATCTCCAAGACCAGATTCTTAGTCTTTAGGAAGTGTTCGAAATTAGCCAGGATTGAGAAACGGTCAAGAAGGAGCCTCCACCAAGAACAGCGGAGGCACAGGATGCAAAAAAGAGTGTCTGGAAGGCACTGTAGGGCCACTCACAGGGGGTTGAGCCTCCACAAAGGATTGATATTTTCCATGAATTTTCAGACTTTCCGGAAATGTTGTCACGTTTTTTCCCCTACTGTTTTTGCTTTTGCTTCTGCTGGGAGTGCTTTACAAGCACCAGGAGCAGCAGAAAGGGCAGGGGACGAAGCACCAAAGCCAGCGTGACAGTGACAAAGGGGGAACAGAAAAGGTATTCCACTTACTAGGGACTTCTTTGCGGTTGTCTTTAGCTTCACTGGTTTCGGGTTTCTTTGGGCTCGGCTTCTTGTCTTTAGAGTTTCTTTAGGCGTTCTTCCGGAAAAGGCATCCCACTTAACGAAGGAGAAGTAGGAGGAGAGAGGAACTATAATAGGGACTTTTCTGCGGTTGTCTTTGGGTTTCAGTGGTTTCGGGCTTCTTTGGGCTAAGCAAAGTAGAAATCCACCTTTGTGGCAGCGTCAACGCAAAGAAAATAATAGTTGTGGTAACTGTGGTAAGACTCGTAGCGGGGTGGTCCGAGCGATAGAGGTATTGGAATGAGTAGGGGTGGTGGACGGTAGTGGCAACTATTTAAAAAAAGCGGGAGGGGGTGAAGGGGAGGGCGCAGTGCCTCCCCCGCAATGCAATTCAAATATAGACAGCGCTGGGCTGCTTCGTTTCTTGATTGGTGTAATTGGGTGTCAAAGCTCAAGGTGAAGGTCTTATCATCCAACTTTGTGGCGGTGTCAATGAAAAGAAAATAGTCAGCAGAAGCAAAAGCTGAAGCAAAAGCAAAGGCAGAAGCAAAAAGCAAAAGCAGAAGGAAAAGCAAAAGCAAAAAGCAAAAGCAGTAGGCGAAAAAGCACGAAAAAAAAAATCCGTTAAAAACAACGGAAAAATAGGGGTTCCCTCCACAAAGGAGGCTCCCCTGCCAAACACGGTAGCACTGCAGTTTTGCGCCAGATCGACCTGCGGAAGTCGGGCCAGCCGCCCGTATGTCTGCGGTCGCGCCCCGTCACCGCCGTGCGCTCTTGTTGAGCAAGCGCTCCCAATTTCGAGTAAGGCACTTGTTTCTAATAGCTTCTTGTTACTACTAGTAAGGCACCTGTTACTACTAGCGTGGCACTTGTTACTACTAGCTTCTTGTTACTGTTGTGTGTGTGCAATGTTTTCTGATTTCCGCAATGCTAGCTGGGTTGACGATAATCAAACCATGAAGGGTTTCCCCGATGTCATTGCAATGGGCGTGAAAGTTAGCATGCAAAAAACAGCGTTCTGCTACGTTGAATCAGGGAAACCTCTTTCTTTTGCGAACTTGTTCGCAGTTCCTTTCTTTGCACGTTTGGGCCAGAATTTTGCATTTGGGTGGTCGTGTGTTGGATATGCGTGGAGGATGATGAAGATGGGTGGGATGGGTTCGGTGGGGGGGTAAGCGCGTTCCGTTGGATGTGCTTTGAATATGATGCCACACGCGCACACGCTTTCGAACATTCACGCGCACACGCTTTTGAAAAAGTGGTTTCTTGAAACTCGTGGAGCGTTTCGTATCGTTTCGTCGTCCTTGGGCTCAAATGACCTTTTTCGAACAATGGTTATTTAGATCTATTGACATGCTATTAGCTGACGTGTCCCAAACACACGGCCAAGTGGCGGCATATCACCGCGTATTGCTGCTTGCTGCTTGCTTCCGCTTGTCCCTGGTCTTTTTCCTTTCTAGCCGCTGCCATTGCTTTAAGCTAGCCCGAAAATTGTTCGTCTGTGCCAGCGTCCTTAACGGGCGTGGTAGCAGGCCACACCCTTAAAAAAGGTGCCATCAAAGTGTCACCAAAGTTGGTTTTGGATGGTTCCCTTGAAAAGGCTTATTTTTGGTCACCAGATACCGCGCCCGCCACCCGCTCCGGCCACCAGCCGAACCGCCTTGGATTTCTTCCGGTTCTTCAGCTCGCCCTCTGGGCACAAGTGACAATATCCACACTCCTCGAAGGAAATGAAGCGTTTGTGGCAGCAAAGCACCAAACACTTCCGAGTCCGAAGGAGTCCGAAGGAGTCCTTGTCATTTTGGCAGCCTTGCGGCTTCCAAAACCAAGCGCATGGCCGGCACCTTGCAAACGAAAGTCTGAAGGCAATTGACGGTCTAAAGTTGAAAAGCACAGTTGAGAAACTTTCTGAGAAGCCACACTTGCCGCTCCCATGTGTGGAAGAACCTTTTGAAGGTAAAACCTGGCGGCAGTCAAAACCACCACTTCAGTTCAAGTCGCAACATCCAAACCGCCTTGTCATCAAGCCTCGGCAACGAAAACACAAAAAGCAAACGTCGAACCCGTGAAAAAGAGGCCCTGTCGGGCGCCCTGTCGTGCCCCAGTATATAGCTTCTTGTTACCAGTGGCATTCTTGCTCCGTTCGTAGCGACGCCAGGAGCCCCTAGTAGCGAACCTTGCTCCTAGTAGCGATGCACCTGTTACTAGAAGCGATGCACTTGTTCCTAGTAGCGTCCTTGCTCCGTTCGTAGCTCCTGTCGGGCCCTGACCCTTTGCGATTGGCCAAGTCCATTGATTCATGGATCATTGACTCCTCGTCGTACAGGGCTTTAGCCTCGAAACAGGTGTCGGGCCCCACTCATCTTACGGCCATGACTGCTCGTCTGCTCATCGGTTTGACTCTTTAAAAATAGGAAAGAACGATTCAGCCATTCTCCCTTGGACCTTCGTCATCGAGAGTACCTTTGATGATGCTATGGTTCAATTTGCTACCTGGCTATGCCTGGTTTGAAGTCAAGGTGAAAAGCAAAAAATGCAGAAAAGCAGTCTCATAGGGCATCGCTACTAGTAACAAGTGCCTTACTAGTAGTAACAAGAAGCTAGTAGTAACAGGTGCCACGCTACTAGTAACAAGTGCCTTACTAGTAGTAACAAGAAGCTAGTAGTAACAGGTGTCACGCTACTAGTAACAAGTGCCTTACTAGTAGTAACAAGAAGCTAGTAGTAACAGGTGCCACGCTACTAGTAACAAGTGCCTTAGTAGTAGTAACAAGAAGCTAGTAACAAAGTGCATCGCTACTAGTAACAAGTGCCTTACTAGTAGTAACAAGAAGCTATTAGGAACAAGTGCCACGCTAGTAGTAACAAGTGCCTTACTAGTAGTAACAAGAAGTCTCAAGTCTTACCCAAGAACTCGAAGTAGTGGACGGACTGGGGCCTTCGTGGCCTTCTCCTTGTCCTTCTCCCCAACTTTCGCAGCAGCTGACAGAGTCGCGAAGAAAGGAGAAAAAGCCGACAACTTCGTGAAAAAAAAACGTATGTTTGATATGTTTTTTTTTTATGTCTTTTTACTTTAAGGGAGTATGCTACTTGTTGGCTCCTAGCTACTAAGATGCTACAAACTGCTGGACGCAGGATAGCTCACGCTTCAAGGAAGCTGCCCTGAGGGTGCGGGGAGCTTCCTTGAAGAAGCGCTCCCACTAATGATTTACTTGGTTCCTAGATGTTTAGGGAAACTCAAAGAAGTAAGCTGGTTAGGAGCTATCAGGTACTCAACACGCTCCTAGTAACTGGGCGCAGGATAGCTCACGCTCGCACCAATCATTTGAAAAGAACGGAACGGATGACTTTGGCGAAAGTGGTTTGACGAGATGACGATGTTGAACGAACAAGTCGCACAGACTGCCACTTGGCCTGCGGCTGCTTGTTGGGCGACCGCAGCTGAGCAACACAATTCTCACAGAGTCTCCCAGTAAAAGCGATATAAAATTGTGTTTCAACCAGTTTATAATGCATAATATGATGTACTTGTTTGTCAGAATAACTTCGAAATCTGGTGGGCAATTTTAGCCAACGGCGTGTTCTCAAACAAACTTCAAAAGGTAAGAATTGTGCCCAAATGTGCAACGCGTGCAGGTGGTTGCAAAGAGAGCGCCCCATCTCCTCACATCCAAGCTGCTTTCCAAGAAAAGTATTGCATGAACGAGATATTCTTGTCAGGAGCAGTTAGGAGTCAAGGTCAAGACCTTGTTAGCACTAGGAGCAGGGGTGCTACTAGTAGCTCCTGGCAATACTACTAGGAGCAAGGACGCTGGTTCAGTTTAAAAGAGTGTGTCAACAAACTCTCCTGACAGACCATGATGGTGTTCTGACCTGAAACGAAAAGAAGACAATGTGCCAAGCATCCGAGACTTAAATCTGCCAAATGTGTGTAAATAGATAGAGGCCATTGCTATTAGGTTGGAGGCCCTTGCTACTAGGTTAGGTTG